GGGAAAGAGAAAGAGAGAGAAGTCTGAGCCAGGCCTAGGAGGAGTTGTGCTAACCAGCACAGATCAGTGGCCTCCACTGCCTCTTTGCTTCACTGCCCACACATGTGATGAAGACATGTGAAGCCTCTACAAGCTTCTGAGAAGCATCTTTGCTGAGTCACTTGCGGTCCAACACACTGCAGCAGCGTTACTGTGCAGCAGGCTATTCACTAAATTCCTACTGCATGGATACACTTTGCCTCAGACACAGAAAACCAAAAAAACAACCAGGCATCCTTAATTCTGCTATGTTCTAACATCAGTGCCTGACATTAAGTCATAGATGGAAAAGCAGATAGGGGAAGGAGTTCTGTGCAGCTCATTTAGGGTTTTTTTCTGCGTGGTAGTGCACTGACACCTGCATGGGTTATGACTAATAGATTCACAACACCTGAACTAAGGCTGCAATTGTAGAATATCAGATTCTCCTATGTGGTACAAACTGGCTAAGCTGGAAGAGGGGCAAAGTAGCCAGAGGTTTCACAGATCATTCCAGACAGCAAAGAAACAGTGAGATTCTGGCTTCTAATAAAGATTTCTCTATTCTGGAAGTCTCCCCAGCCTTGTTTTCAATGATTAACCCCTTCTGCCCTTGCCTTTCCCGTTGGTTCTTACTCCAGGACTGTTTCTGACACGCAGTCAAGAGCAATTCTCCAGGGAATTAAGATACGAGAAGCACAGGCCAATGGCATTTGTTAGTTCCTAACTTGGCCAGATTTGGTCAGATTTTTCAAAGGAATGGCAAGAGGCATAACACCTTTCCCTAAATCATGCCCTGGCCAAGTGTTACAAGTTTGTGCTTCAAGGTATGGCAATCATGAGAGATTTAATAAAATGTTGGTCACCAGAGAATTTCAACAGGGATAAAGGTTAACTTGTTTCCCCAGCCTAATTCTCAGGAATAGCTGAATCATCTTGGCTGAAATTCAGCTCCCCAAAAAGCAACAAATCGTTTTCTCTCAAGTCATGCAGAAACACAGACACTGGTAGAGGATATTTTAGCAGAACTGGTTACAGTCTGGCAAAACTACACACAGCTGAAAACAGAATATTACAGAATATTTCAAAAGGTCTATGTAACCTTCTCTACAGGGAGTGGTATTTGCCTCCACTCAAAAAGTTGAAGTTCTTGCAAAGTTAAAAGGCGTTGGGAGAAGGCTGAAGGGAACAGAACCTTTCCTACAACTTGAGACAATAAATCATGGCACAGAGGCAGGACTAGAGCAATGCAGACCTGATTCTGCAAGGACACCAAGTAGATTATTTCTTTGCTCTGTACCAAGACAGCCCAGAACTCTAGACACATGCATCCACGCACACTTGGATGCCTGAGACATGGTAGTCATTGGCTAACATGCATGATGGTCTCATTCCTAAACACTCAACGAGTAGGAGGCCAGCAACAGGAGGAAGGGATATAGCAAGGCATTTCAACAAACCTCCCGTTCCAAGCAAGCACTCCCCCTGCTGCATTCCAGCTTTCAAGCTCCCCACCCCATTCCTCTTCATTCACTGTGCCCTCATCCATTCCTCCCACTTTCTCCCCGTATCCACACCCCACACACACATTTCCCCACCAAGCACTTGCTCTCAGGTCTGCATGCAGGTTGGATGTTTCTGATGACACTGACGCCAGCAGCACACCAACGTGAGGCAACAAACCCAATGACATTCACTGCCAGCAGGTCTCAACCGGGAGCACATATGCCAAGGGAAAAAGGGGGAAATGAAGAGGAAAAGGGAAGAGGAGGGACTAAAAAACATGTATGCCAACCCCTGCAGCTCTTCAGTTTGACTGGATATGCCCACAGTGTCCTTCCTTGCAGGCCCTCAGAATCTCTTCAACATAATGAGTTGTGTGAAAGATTTAGCAGAACTGACCAGGTTGTGCTACAGATAAAAAGAAGCCATGGTTGGAGGGTGAAGGTAAGGAAGCTCTGTTCTAAATGGGAGTCACCAGGGAACAGCAAGAAATGACAGAAAATGTCCTCTGATGGGAAAAAAAATACAGGTTACCTTCTCTAAAGTTGAAAGCACTTTGGAGAAGATGGTGAACACAGTGATCTCCAGCTAGACTGCCAAGACTCCTCGGAAGCCCAGACTACACTGGGAATATTGGGACTACTGGCCTGCCAACAGAGGAACGGACTTCTCCTTCTAGGAACCTGAAGAAGGCATTCCTTCTGGTGAGAAAGGAGTTCAGGCTTATTTTCTAAAGGCCATGTAACAGCTTTTTAGTGTCTGATTTCTGGTGCCTGGCAGTGACTTAATTTGGAGATATACTGGTAAAAGGCTTCCACATGAGGGGCAGCCCAGTCTCTTCCCCTCATCCTACAAGGGCTGAGAGGGCCCCACACTAAAGCCCTCATTAAGTCACTACTATTTACAGCTTGTTTGATGTGTTGGCTGATCCACCTAGGAAAATGCCAGCACTAATTTTGGCTGAACCTTTTCCAGCCCCTCGACTGGCACCTTCATTCCTGCACTTGTTGCTTTGCACGCATTTAGCCAGTGCAAGCAGCATCAAGCAAGCTTGACACCAGGATCCTGTGGCCTTCATGGGTCCACAGGGAGCACACGCTGCCCACACAGAGCAAAGTCCTGTCTCTAAACTGACCGCTTGCTCCAAGAAACATAGGGAAAAGCAAGACTGTGGGGAGTGTCCCCACTGACCAAACATGAGTACCACAGTAAAAGCATGCCAAAACAACAAGGTCAGTGCTCTTTTTTTTTTCCTTCCTATGAGCAATTGGGAAGTGATGCCAAATCTAGGAATATCAGGCAGGGAAGGGAAAAAGGTGTCACCTTTCTTCTGCAAATAGAGAGCTGGGAACAGAGTCAGTTACTGCAGCTGAAGGGAAAACCAAAATCTCCCAGCCTCTTTTAGTGCTGCTGAGCTCCCAGACCTCTCATGGGGCTGCCGCATCTGTTCTGGAGGAGCAGAGTAACACCTGCAGATTGGGTTCCAGTGTGCTTGTAACAGTCCTCCATTAGAGGATGAAACTTACTTTCCAATATGGTAAAAACAGATCAGTCACCTCATACCGAGTTCTCAAGTTAAAAAGAAAGCTAAGGCTTAAAGAGGGTCTTCTAGCCAAAAGTAATTTATTTTTTAGTACCAAAGCTGTCTGAGTACTGGAGAATTATTTTCCAGAAAAAAAAATACAGGGGCAGGAGAAAGGGGGGGAAAAAAGCACCTACATACCCAGATGTACAGCAGCACAAACATACATTCTTGCAGCAGATCAGAGTGACCAAGTCTCACACCCTCCTTCCCTGCACCAGAGGCTGCACATTCCTCTGTGACCCCAGCAGCTGCTCCGATAGCAGAAACCCCCAGCACAGCACAGGTCAGGCACCTTAACTGCTGGGCCAGCTGGACTTTATCAAAGCAGAGTAGGAGGACGCTGTGGCTAGAGCTCACTGAGATGAGATACACTAGCTCTTCCTCTGCTGTAGCATCCATTCAGGATAGCACCCATCCATTATCAGTGACTGGAAATATTAGACCTCCTGCCTAGTGCAGGTACAACACTGGTCCAGCCAAGGACCAGAGAGAGACATCCAGAGAAGTACTCCTGTGAATCCTCCTGTTTCTACAGCAGAAAACCTCAGAACAGTAACAACAGAAGACATTGCTTCACTACTTTTCTTTTGAGGCTATAAAATCAAGATTTCCCTATCAGCTTCCCTGTGTAATCACCATTTTCCACCCTCCAAACTCCCACTTTAAAAAGGATGCACAGGAGAGACAAAAGGAGGGCTGCATGGCTTGCCCTAGTCAGTGGGAAGCCAGGATCAGAAAAATAAGGATCCAAATCCACTAGCACTTCCTTTTGTTGCTGGCAGGACATCATCTTGAAAACTGTAATTTTCTTTTCTTCCTATAAGGACTCCATGGAGAGAGTACCAACACAAAGACTAAGAAAAACAAAATTTTGGGGAAGTGTCCATGCCATTATGCAGCAATTCCCACTTTGCTCCAGAGAACATTCTTGTAAGAGTCCTTGAGTCTGAGTCCAAGTCCAAGACCTTGGCTATGGTAACTCTAGGCACTTGTAGCAATCCAGTTATCCAGTGCCATCACAGTCTTGAAAGGCAAGCTGCTGACATTAGTTTTTATACAAGACAACAGGCTTCCTTTTCCTTCAGCCATCCATTTTAAATGAATGGAGCAAGACAGTGAGGATCTTCAAGAATAGATCTAGTATGGAGCAAAGCAGGAGTTTCTTCCAGCTCATCATCCTCCCAGCTGCAACAGGTAGATAGGACAGGACTTCTGAGTGTGAAATACGTGTCTTGTGGCTCCCCCTGGCCAGGCAGGGAATGAAAATGCAGCATTTCATTGCCCTCTTCAAAAGGGCAAGCCCCACTAGGTAAAATTAGAACTTGTTAATCACCAAAATTGTCTGTATTTCCCATGGAAAACGCAACGCCGCACTTTTAGTCACACAAAAACAACACAACAGACGATGCCTGAGCTTTCGCACTGCCTTCTTAGGTAGGAAAAGAAGCAAGGATTCAAACCAGGCACACAAGCAGTTAATGGGATTATCCAAACAGAGAGAGATCTCAGCAGGACCCAGCAGGCCATGAACACATCATATCATGCAAAGGAGCCCTCTCCCATCACAGGGTTAACACGTGCCAGGCTGTTAGAGTCCAACAACAGCCTCTCCAGTTTTAGGAACTACATCAAACACGCAACGAAATGCTGCTCTCCATACCGGTACCTGCTCATCTTTTTCCTCAGCCTGGCGAACAGTTTAGTTTTCTTTCTGTTGAAGATGGCACGCAAATCATTTCCGTTACAGGACGGCACAGTCAAACCAGGGAGGAAAAGTTAAGCTTCCGAGCACCCATTCACTTGGTGCCACAAAACTCTCTGCCATCCAGATTACAAGCTCTCCTCCCACTCTTTCTCACAAACACACACACACACACGCACGCACACACTTCCCTTGGTTTCTAGAGACCTATTGCCCAGTTTGGAGAGGGTAAAAGAGGGTGTTTTGTGCATGTCAAAGATCTGCATATATGTGAGAAAATTAGTGTTTTCTCTCCTCTCTGTAATATGAGGCCTGGTTGCACACAGATGAGAAGAAAAAGGAAACTGTATAGAGCAGCAGAAAACTGTAAATGTCCTTTTTCACAGGTAATCACAATGCCTCACTGTCGGCTGCAAATATTGGTACACAACAAACAAGCTCCCCATTCTCCTTTACTTATGTGATCTGCACACAGTCTTACATGAACCCTAATCCTACTATGTCTTTTTCCAGTTTGTCCAGTCAAACTAAGACAATGCTACAGATCCCCTAGGTCTTCTAGGCATCTGAGCCCTGAATGTTCAAACTCTTTCAGAAACAAACCTCAAACATATGTCTGACGTTCCCAGAAATACATCAGCTGCTCTGTGCTACATAGCCAGCATAAGACTCATTAGCCACAGTAATGTTTCTGTAGGGCCTTGTATGAATGCCATAATGATGTACACAGATAATTGCCCCTCTTCTCACCCGTCTTCATTCATTTCCTGCCATTGTATCCATCTCCAATCCCCTTTCCAGTAAAGAAGGGTTTAGGGAAGCATCTGCTCCTACTGCAGGCCACAATAAGCAATCAGACCAGGGAGGGCTATTTCCTCCTGCACATTTTCACTCCAGCCCTGCACCACAATGGGAGGCCAGGTGTGGAGGAGAGACAGAAGGGCCTCACAGTGTTTCCTGGTCACTGCAAAACATATTTACTACCCTGGAAAAGCTTTGCTACATTCTCCTACAACACCTCACTCCACTGTGCTCAGGGGAAAGAGAGTTGCTCTGGGGTAGGTCTGGCATCTCAGCCAAGATGCAGGGTGCAAGTGATGAAGCAGCAGCACTCGTTTTCAGCTTTTAGGGCCAAGTGGTCTCCTAGCCAGCCAAAGAGCACAGAACTGCAGCTGAGATACCTATTACAGCCCCATATGAAGTCAGCAGATTGTAGGGGTGAAAATCATGAGGACAGGTAATTTATTCACTGGAAATTCTTTCAGGCCAGAAACTTCATGACACAACAACAAAGAACATGTCTGGGCCAAGCTGTCACTACAGCCTGCAGTCACTTCCTTGAGGAAGAAAGGAAGGAGCTGGACAAAGCACTGGCTATAGCCTTCATCTGTCCTGTTACCTCATCTTCTTCTAAGGACCCTGAAGGATGCTGCTATCAGAGACAATACAGCACACGACAGCAAGAGACTGGGCCTCATCACAAGGCTTCAGTCTTGTTGAGCTGTGATGATTAACAGATACCACATACTAACTTGAGAAGAAGATACTATGTTCACAAGAAGCATTTCTACTAGCATCTTGGAAATTTGGTGTTAGCTATCCAAAATTCAGGGGCCAAATTCAAGTCAGACAACCTCTTTCTCTAGAGCTGACAAACACAATACACGTTGCTGGAAGAAGACATACAAGTTGCCTGTGCACGACTACAGTGGGAGGTTAAACTGGGAGGAGAGATAAGGGGCACAGAGGTCTCAACAGCTGATGTAGCCTGCACGAATCAATGCACCCAGACCACAGCTTGCCCTTACTTCACGCTGACTTCACCTCCTCCCTCCATCAATACACCAATTGAGGATGTGGGCTGTGCTCCGGCTCCCCCGGCACGTGGGATTAGCAGCAGCTGGAAGCCAGAGCCCAACACTGTTTCATCACTCACGCATTTGGACAGGAGCCAGACACAGCCTCATCCAGAGCTCGACCTCTCCCTCCCCACTCAGTGCTAGGGAATGTGCAGACTTGCATTTAACCAAACAGGACTGGACCCAGCGGAGGAAAGAAAACTAAAGGCCTGGAGGACACTCACTCTTTGCAGATTGGAAGTGCTCTGAGATCAGGAGCCATTCATATTAGTGAGGCTCCAACTACTTCCACAGCACAGACAGGGGAAACTCATACCAGCTAGGTACATAAGAGGGGCATAAAGCTTAGGCAAATAGGAGGTTCCTAGTTTGGAGGACAAACAAATAGGATCTTTGAGCTCAAGCTCATAAGCTGCAGGGACGTGGTGGAAGCTTTTGAGGGAAAGAATTGGACAGGTGCTGGGCAATTGGACCCAGAAGAAAGGTCAGCTTGGCATTACATGTCAGTGCATGGAATTCCACTTTTAAAAAAACAGAGCTGAGAGTCAGTTGCCTAAATATCAGCACCTACTGAAAGCTTAGGCCTCCAGGTAGGAGATACCTCCTGCCTACCTGCATTGTGTGTCTCCCAGACCCAAATGCAATCACAGACACGTTCTAGGGAGTCTCAAGAGGGCACTGGATAGCTATACACAGGTAGTCAAATCACTTCCCAACTGACAACATGGAGGTTTCAACACCCCTGGTAGAGACATCCCTGTACCTCCTTTCCAGCTGAAGGAAAGACGCTACTTCTGCAGTTACTGACCTGGGCTGTGCTTTAACGGGGAAGGCATTGCCTGAGTACTGCTTGTCTAGACCCAGCAGGACATCATGGAGGTTTTGGTTCAACTGCAAAATACAAAAAAACAAAAGAAAGAAAAGGAATGAGAAAAGAGCCCAAAGTGCCAGAAGAGAATCTGGACTGGCCTGCACAGGCTCACCAAACACAGGCTTGTGCCCAGACATGTGCACAGGCTCAGCTGTCCTAAGAGAGGACAGCCCTACATCTGTTTCCACTCCTCCATGGGGTATGAAATGCTAGAGCGCTCAAACTGTTGAAGAGCTGCTGGTGACTCGTGGGAATGCTCTGTCTCCCTTACAGATCATCATCTTTGTTTCTTTATCACCTACCTCCACCAGTGTGCTGCCAGGTACCACTGAGAAGCGGGCAGAGGGCTTAACTAAGGGTCTAAGTGCTAGAACGGAAGCTTCATTCTGGATTTGTAGTCAAAGCTGTTCCTCAGATCTGCTTATAAAGCTTGGGATATGGCCATTTCAACCATGGAGCTAAAGGCAGCTGGACTTTCAGTCAATAGCAAACCTTGACTTCACAAGCTGCCTAGGCCATCCAGGTTTGGGCAGGACCTGGATATCTTCACAGAAATGCAATATTAGAGGTTAAACTCTCCCTGGCACTGAAGGCTGCAATATTCACAGCAGACACTCCTAATCTGAAACAGCCAACTCACAAACAAGATGAGATGCCAGATTTATCATTGGTTGGAGGAGGGATCCAACACAATCAATGTTGGAGGCATTGTGCCAGCAACACCAGCAGTTAATTGGATGCTATAGCAGTAACAAGAAACAGATGGTTCTTATGGAGCAAAAGCCCTGCTCTCATACAAAACTCCTCAGGAAATAAAAAGCCAAGACATGATACAAGAGGAGAATTCCTGTCTAATAAGCATCTTTCCTATGTTTTGCTGAATGTAAGTTAACAGCAACAAACTGATAATTATAACAATCCTCCCTATTCTTAACAATCAGTTCATCCCTCAGTAGAGAAGAACAGGCTATTAACTGGAAAGGCCCCCATGAAATGTCAGCAGGGCTCACAATTGATGCATTACACCAAGGCAGAGGGCCCCTGACAGTTGGGAATTGAAGGACTATCGTGTTGCCTGTTGCTTAGCGGCTGTCTTGTTGTCAGGATGACATCAGGGAGAGGAGGGAATACGCAAGTTTTCCAGCTGGGCTCTCAGTGGCTCATCAAGGTTAGTGCAACGTTTACAGAGGGGGTGCAACTCTTAGGAGCAGCATACAGACCTAAGGAATTCAAGACTTCTCTAGCTTTTAAGTGAATGAACAACAAGAACATAATTGTAAGTGGCAATGGGAGGCTTTCCCACAGACTGCTCTTGAGGTCTCTGCTGGGCGCTGGCACATAGCACCAGGATCCACCACCAGATTACAACACTGCTTAGTGCTGCAATTCCCAACTTGTGGCCAACTGGCAGCTGATGTAAGGGCCATGATAAGCACTCAGATGCCTTCTTTTGGGTCACAGGGCAGGAAAGAAGTCAAAGCAGAGAGGTACTGCTGGGAAGTGGCTTCTTGAGCAATTGGAGTGAGGCCTGTCTCAGTCTTCAGTCGGCCTTCAGCCTGGTAGATTTGCTGCTGTTTTCATCCCCAGAGACAGACAGATGAGAGTTCACAGCAACTTGGTGCCAGGCAGCAGAGAAGGGGGCAAAGAGATACCAGGTTAAGAGTGCCCAGGTTATAGGTTACAGTTCCACGATGTGGATGAACCACATAGGCCTGTAAGTGGCTTCCCTTCCCTCTGTGGATCTGCAAATGAGCCCTGCCAAGTGACACAAAATCCCCACTGCTGCATGGCCCTGTGTTCTCTTCCTTGTGCTCCATCCCTTTACATTACTATTTCAAACAACCTTTCTCCCTAGTGGCATAGAAAAAAATAAGGGTTAACATTTTCCTATGACATGGGGCAAATGTTTTGTTTTCTCCAGATGTTTTTTCAGGCTTGTTGGTTGGGGTCTTTTAGTAACAGTGAGGAGATGGGGTATTAGTAGGATAAGCTGTTAGTTGCCTTACCTTGCTCATTTCTTTATGGAAGTTCTCTTCTAGGCCTGCTATACTCTGGAATGTGTTGACATAGAAACCAACACGACTGCCAAATGAAAAAATGAGACAGAAGAACTTAATGGACACAATGCTCTCCCAAAAACTTTCACTTCTGCCCCTTCTGCTACCCCCCACCCACCATTCCCATTCAAACTCAACTCTGTCAGATTTGGTACATGCTGGAAGAGAAGGGTGGCGGCAAAGTGTGAAGGGAGTGATGGAGCAAAGGCCAGGTATAGGGCAAACATGTCCATGGTGAGGTCACGTAGCCAGGAGCTCATTTAGGGGCAAAAGAAGGCAGCCACACAAGGATCCTTCCCTCATCTTAGCTTACCCAATTAGCCAAACTTGAAAGTGGCATCCAAAGCAGACTAACCTGTCCTCTCATCCTCCCTCTTGTATTAAACCTGCTGCTTCATTGGGTGCTCATAAGCTTGCATAGCAAGACACAGTGATCAAGCCATCACCTCTTGGCTCTCTCCAACCCCAGTGACTGTATAAACACCTCTGACATCTCATCCTCCCTTCATCAGCCAGCTGACATACCCGCTCAGCTGCAGATGTTCCTTCCAGCCAGCCAGCCCCACACCCAAAATCTCAGTGACCCAGCCTATTCTGTCTGCAGCCCAGAGCAGAAGCTGGGCCACTGCCCAGGAAAGTTGGGCAGAGTTGGTGGGTCAAAGGGATTAATCAGAGCACAGAAATACAGTTTCTCTTTGTGGTAAAACTGAGCTTTTCATGAGGATCCTGAAGCAAAGCACAGAAAGCTCAGGGTGAACCCGGCCATGGGAAATCCTAGGACAGACTCTCTGAAATAATTCAGAAAACAGGAGCAGACACCCAGCCCAAGCTAAGCAGAACAGTGATACAAGAGCTTGGGTTTTTGCTTCCTTCCAACCAGCCTTTGGGTAAACTTCCAGCACTCACCTATTCCATAGTGAAGGCAGCTCCTCCTGCAGATCAACGTTCATTTCTTCAAACACCTTCTGAGCCTTTACTAACTCTTCTTCAGCCTTAAGAACAGAGAAGGGAGATTGTCGGCTCCAGCACAGACAAGTATGCTGCAGGGCTGGGACAACTGTGACTCCCGACCTCCTTGGGAGACCAGTCAAAATTCTGGCATGCGGTAATCCTCATCCCAAATGAGTCTCCCAGGAGCCAGGGTTGCATCACAAGTGACCCGATGTCCCTTCAGCTTGCATGTACCGTTCTCAGGCTTTCTCTCGGTGGATCTTACTGTTTGGATACTCAGAAAGTAATTCAAACATCCACGGATGTGTTTTAAGTTCTATACATTTCTCTGGCTTCAAAAACTGAATGGTGCTGGTCAGGCAGTTCAGCCTCCAGCTTGGATACAGATGAAGGTAACAGTGGACCCCACCCCTTGCCAGGTCTCTGAAAGAGTTGAAATCCATCCCAAATTGCATTGAAGAGTCCTCCTTTCGTGAGGACTCTCTCTGTTCGGGTAAGGTCATGCCAAAACCCCATCTCTTCCGAGGAAGGGAGGAGGTCTGCATCCTTGGCTGCATCTCTTACAAAGATGACTGGAGAAGCAAGGAAGGGTATGCAAAGCATGAGTTGTGCCAGCAGGAGGCCAGGCTGGAGTGCTTGAGCAGCAGGTCTTGGTTTCAGCGGTCCCACATACTTTCATTGGTGAGGATCTAATACAAGAGCAATCCCTGGCTGGCTGTTGGCCACCAACATCAAAGGAAATATACCTTGTACAGGACCTCTTTCTCCCAGTTGAGAGTTTATATTTGATCTGTTCTTCTGAGCTAGACACTGACAGACCCCAACGCTGATGCATGAATTTGTTGTGTTTCAGTGAAAAAGGGTGATTCTTGCTTCTGTTGCTGACAGCAGACACCAGCAACAAGCACATTCCCCTTCCCATTTTTTTTCTAGGTGACCTCTTCCTCTTTTCAGTGCCCTGACTTAAAGCTTGCTAATTAAAACGTTTCTATTCTGTAACTTGCAACAGCATAGCATACTCCCATAACCCTGTGCAGTGAAATGCAGGATGGCAAATCCCTGCATGAGCAACTTGACAACACACCTTAACAGGACTGTCAACACGAGTGCCTCCTTCTATGTGTGACAACAGCAGGAACATCACAACACCACAGGGGTCTGCAAAGTGCCTGCAAGCCACTGGGGAACCAGATCTCTCTAAGAGCCTGCAGTCAGATTGCTACCCTTTCTACAAAATGAAGTTTTATCTTCTTTGTGCCAGCTTAATTAAAGAAATCCTCAGTAACAGGTACATGTAAAGATAGGATTGATGGGACAAAGGACTTAAAATATTTTATGGTTCAGAGTCCCGTTCCTCACAGCGTCATGTAGGATCCTTACTCTCTCAATTTCTCTCCTGACATGAGCAAGCTGCAGAAGCTCCTACTTTGCAGCTGGCTCCACCTTTTAGAGAGGGTCGCTCATTCCTGCCAAAGGCAAGGCTAAGACTGTACTCAAGACCAGAAGATACTTTCCCCTTAGAAAAAGAAACAACTGGGAGGTATTCAAATGTAAACCTTGTGAGGAACAGGCAGGGGAGAAGGGACAATGATGCTTCCACCCAGAAACCCCTGTATTTCACTGCTACACTCACTGAAAAAAACCAAACATTTTGAGAGAGCTTGCACAAAACAAACAAAAAGCTCATTTAAACAGAGACACAGCTTATGCTGGATCAGAGGCAATGATCACAAAGACTCATTCTGCCTTAAAATCCCTCTACAAGTGAATGTTTCTAATGTAACAATTTTAAAGGGAGAAAAAAAATCCCAGTCTATCCTTTGACTTTATCTGACTTCCAAACTAGCATGGAACCAGAATCAACCCAAAAGATGGGCTCATAGAATCGTTATGGTTTGAAAAGAGCTTTAAGATCATCAAGTCCAACCACTAACTAATTCTACCGTGCCCACTGCTAAACCACCACGTCCCTGAGCACCATATCTAGACGGCTTTTAAACACATCACCACATCTTTTAAATGATTCCATCACTTCCCTGGGCAGCCTGCTCCAGTCTTTGATAACCCTTTCAGTGTAGAAGTTTTTCCTAACGTCCAACCTAAACCCGCCCTGGCGTAACTTCATACCATTTCCTATTGTCCTATTGGTTGTAATTTGTGAGAAGAGGCCCACACCCACATCTCTACATCCTCTTTTCAGGTAGTTGTAGAGAGCAATAAGGTCTCCTCTCAGCCTCCTTTTCTTTAGACTAAACAACCGCAAGTCTCTCAGCTGCTCCTCATAAGACTTATTCTCAAGACCCTTCACCAGCTTTGTAGGCTTTCTTTGAACCCCCTCCAGCACCTCAGTGTCTTTCTTATACTGAGGGATAGCCAGGAGACGAGGCACCACTGAATGCTATTAGTTGTTTGGATACGGTGAATACTAATAACAGTCTTTCCCTCTCTTGTTTACCTGTTCAGAAGGTCAAACATAGAAAGCAATGTGTGAATATTGTAACGACCCGAGGCAAAGGCAAAATCAGCAACAGGCAACGTTCACTCTAGAGTAGCTGTAGGAATCCGGGATCCACCTAGTGTCCATGGCTTAGCTAATGCTCTCAGTTCCAAGTACAGCAGTGGATTAATTCTTCACTCCTTTGACCCAGGGATTTTCTCACCAGTGGGAATTATTTTGCTTGGAAGGAGAGGTCCTGACACTGGATAGCCCCGACTGCTTCCCACCAGAGCCAAGAACAGACACCAAATTGGTCGTGAGCCCCACTAGAGGAAAAGCCAGCTCCTGCAGTAAGGTGGAGAAAGGAGGAAAGACACAAGGTGCAGGGACAGAGCCCATTGCTGCCGTAGCTGTGCACCTTCTGTTTCAGTTGTTATCCTTTCCAACCTGATGGAGAACTGAGGCAGAAGCATGCAATGCCCCAGCCCATGAAACATGAACTCACAAAATTCTTCATTCTTCCTTCTTCCTCTCCTCTTCCTACCTGAAAGGTGGAAGGTTTGAGCTGGAGCTGAACAACACAAACACTTTCCTGACCTTTCTCCTAGCCAAGGGTCAGAGCACCAAGTACAACCAGCTCAGTTGTGACAGGGGGGCAACTATTCCACACGGTGTTTCCTAGCATCATGCATCGCAGCACTCATGAGTGGCTGGCAATGTTCAGCCTGGTGCTTCCAAGCAATCTGGTGACCATTTCTCTGCAAACACTCTGCTGTGAACTGTGGTAATTACGCTCTGCTTAGCAAATAGTTGAGATATCCATGAGGCAGGGGTAAAGAGGAGAGCTGGGCACCACAACCCAGACCCAAGCCTTCAGTAGTCCCAGCCAGACCTGTATCTTAGAAGGGCAGCACGGCCCAGGACTTCTACAGACAGAGATCTTGTTCTGTTACCACTGCAGCACCAAGGATGTTGCTTTTTAGCCTGTATTCAGCATTTCAGGGGAGCTTAGCAAAAAAGGCAAGAATTTGCTGTTCTAAGCCATTTCCCCCTTTGTTTCAAACAGCACAGTCACTAAAATTTGTAACTGAGAACGTGCAATAGTAATGTCCTCCCCAGGAGACTTTACAGAAAGACCCCACTGCATTGTTTTTGTCAGTATCTGCTGAAGGCCTAAACGGCCAGCGGCTTGTACCTGTAGAGGGACTTGGCTTCACAGCAGATAGAATAGACCCTGTTTTTGCTTGGAGGTTGTACAATTATCATGCAAGAAGAGGCTGAGACACAGCTGCTGGTAAGAGAAAGGGACTTTTTTATTTTGGCTTAACATTCTGAAGCTTTTCAGTAAATGCATTGTCTTTATAGAGAGCTTAATGAGAGTTAGGGTTGTCATTAACACCTTCAGTCTTGAAGTAATGCAAATATAAAAACTGAATCTTTTTTTTTTCCTGCCTGCTCATGTTTGTGAAAAAAAGCTGGAAAACCTACAGCTCAGAATACAAGCTAATCTTCTTCATTCAGACTTTTTTTGGTTAGTCCTCAATCAAAAATTTCTTTATAATTAAAAAAAAAAGAATACCAAACCAAAAACAAACAAACAAAAAGAAAAGCCACCAAAACAAAGACTCGCACAATTAGAAACAAAAAATTAAGGTTGGCAATAGTATTATTTAATTCAAGAATGAAAGAGGAAAAACTTAAAGGAGGATTTAACTTGACTTGAAAATACCTGGGGTGACTGCAAATATTAATGCTACTTAGCAGAAGGTTTAACACTCCCACAACACAGCGGGTGGAGAGATTACGCACCTCCTCGCCACATGCTTTAGGGCAAGGTTACTCAGTACAGTGAAATTTCCAGTCGACTCTCAGTAGCCTAAGATCACAGTGCGATGGATGAGGGTGCACTCGTTGCCTGTTTAGGCAAACTGTGGGCGGTGGTCTTGCACCCAGTCACCCCAGTCAGTCTGAGAAGAGGAAAAAATGCCTCAAGAGCTGATTTATCTATCTCTGGCTTGAGAAACTTCCCATACCTGTTTTCTAGCCCTCCAGAACCACCACCAGCCAAACAGCCCAGTCAAGAACCACAGCCACGCAGCTTGGCTGAGGCACAGGAAAGGCCCCCGGCAGCCTGCCAAATGTCTTTCTCCCTTCAGTCAAGAAGGAATACATATTTCCTCCCTTTGCTAGGCATCTCAAGCAGGACTGCTAACAGCTGCTCTTTCCCCAGGCTTTATTGATGTGGTAATCTAGCCTATTCCCTGATCCCCAGTCGTAAACCGACTGTGAAAAACCCAGGTGCTTTATAAGGTGAGAGCGATTTAGTCTTTCTAAACGGCAATTTATTCACTGACAAGGAATGTGAAAATGCAAGAGCACTTGAAAAAGAACAGATGAGCTCACCAGGAACCTGTGAGCAGGAAACTGGCGCTCTCCCAGACTGGGTAATGATTTACTACCCCTTGCCCATTGAAAGCATTTTCTTCTCACTGTTTTCTGTCAGCTTCCTCTTGTCTCTTAAGAAGCTCCATGGTAAATGCCAAGGGAGATTTCATCAGGAAGCCACACTTCTATGCAAATAGGACTGAAATTCTTAGTCCCTGCAGTTTCTCTGAGCTGCTCTCTTGACCCTGAAGATGCTATAACCTAAATGTTCAGCCCAGTTCTGCCACATGACACAACCATGACCTCAACCTAGAGCTGTTCAAATATATCACACAGGGTGCAAATTCCCTGGCCTGGACGCACCTCTTCTTCTATGCAGACTGAACCTCTGTACACCTGGAAACCGCTCATTTAGACCACAAGAGCCAGGACAGTGCCCAATTTGGAAAATTGGATTTTACCATAGAAGAATGTTTCAACTTAACTCAGCAGCCACAGAAACTGATTTTGAAGCAATGTGGGCTTTTTCTGCTCAACAGCAAAAATGCAGAAGCCAATTTTTCCAATGGTTTCCTTTTGCTTTTCGATTTTCTTTTTTTTTTTTTAAGCAGCAACAATAAAAATTGATTGCTTCTCTTAGTAGAAAAAGAAATGAATAAGTGGAGGAACTACACTACATCATCCTCTGCCTTGGCATTATTCCATAGCCTTTCTTCATCCTCATTTCATTTTAGGGGGAGAAAACAATAGTCCAGTATTACCACATGTGATCAGAAACCAATAGGGCAGGCACAGATTCCTTCATTGGTCAGCAACTTCTCTGTGCCAACTGAGGCTCAGGAATATCAAGGATATGCTTAACAGCAGGGACTAGAGTGAACGTTGCCTAGAGATTAGTTGCATGGTACAGTCTAGAGCCCAAAATAGCGCATGCAGGGTTAGAGCCAGGTAGATCAGCAGTCACCTGATTTCGGAGCAGATTAGTTTGTGCAACGAGGTGAGCTTGTAGCTTCCCTTGACACCACTGAGGCGCGGCTTTCTCAAGCAGCGAAACAGGCTGGGGGGAGGGAGCATGTTTGAGTGAAAAGAGAAAAAAATAAACAGAGAACAAGAGAGACACAAACATACATCTTTTAGGATAACAAAATGAAAATCACAACAGAGAGTGTATTTAGACGCTGGGCCAAACCAGTATCATCAAGGCGAGAGAAAAAACAAACATCCCGGGACCGATCAGTTATGAATCCTTTGAAGCATGCCAACTTTAGCAGTAATTAATGTTCCAGTGCGGGCTGGGATACTGCAGACCAGCCAGGCAGCTGCAAAGAGCAACAGATACAGTTGTTAGTGACCTAGCACACAGACAACCCTACTCCAAGTCATGGCTGTGAAGTGGGAGCTCCTTAAAGAGAGGCCAGGATTAATTAACCATTGTCATTATTTGCATGCAACAGCTGAAAGTCCACAGTGCTTTATTTTAATGGTGGGTTGTGAGTTTAGCAATAAGTGGTATGAGTCCTGGAAGGGAAAAGAACATCCATATATTAGAGAAGAAAAAAAGAGACCATATAGCTCCAGAAAGTATTTGCATTGCTCATTCTGTTACTATACCATGAAACACCGATGAAGTCAGTTCCCATGTGTATGCTGTGTCATAAACAAGATTTCTCTTTCCTAGGGGCCTGTCATATTCCGGAATACCTTACACTGAAACAGCTCTACTTCAAAGGTCACGCAAGCAAAATCACAGCCACAGGAACGGAGGGGTGAATTTCCTACATCAGCCTCATGTGTGCTGAGCCCTGGCTGCTGCCCACAGCCCTGCAGAGCTGTGCGACTGCAAACATGGGATCGTGGGCTGGGCTGTGAAGCCTGCCCACTTGGGAAGAGCATACATTTGGGAAGTACAAAACTATGGGGACTCACTGCTCCATCTTTACAGGATCAGGGTAGTGCGATGTGTTGCATATTATCCCGTGCATGAGCTTATGGCCTAAAGCAGACAGGGTCAAAAGATCTGATCACATGCACAGTCTGGCTAACAAGAAGAGTCCAATCAAGTACGAAGAGACAGTTGCACAGGCTGAATCAGAAACAGAGCACCAACTCCTAAATCTCAACATTTCACTCTTCAAACTGCACTGCTCTTCATACTTGAACAAAAAAGCAACAAACAATCCCTTGTTAATAACGCACAATGTGAGCATTTGGGGTAACATGAGAGAGTGCAGCATTGATGAAGGCGGCCAGCCTCTTTGGTGCAGATCACCAGGTCTCAACCCGAGTAGATTAATTCCTTCAAAAAACATTTCCACTGCAGCAAAAATCCCACCAACACACACCAATAATAATACCACATCCCAGGGAAGTTCTGCTCTTATCCCGAAACACAGTGTAGTACTGCTCTGAGCAGAAGGCACAACCAGCTGGGCCTCATGCCTTGCATACAGAACCAAGACTTGCTTTGCCACAAAATGATGCAATGACACCTGAGCCATCAATCTCTCTGCCCTTTGCCTGTCAGGATTAATCGTGGTGAGCAGATGACTGATGACTTGCAGCTTAAAAATAAAAGTACTGTCAGTTGGCCATTAAATGCAGATCTTTGGCTCAAGGGAGAGATGCATCTATTTTCCTTCCATGCAGGAGAAACACTAGTGTCTCCCACTTAGCCCGTATTTCCCCCTACCAGAAATAACTCTAGGCAAAGGATGACAGCTCTTCTCAGTCTGGTTAAAAGACACAACTCCAGGCTCGCTCTTTCCCGCACTGCTTCTAGCCTGAAGAGTCCTGGTGTGTCATCGCCCACATTCAAGAGAATTAAAGGTGTCTTCCCAGCGCCCTGGACTATTCTGTTGTGTCAAGACTTGTCTGTGGAGTGGAGCACGTGGGTTCAAATCCACTTATGGTACACAAGTAATCCACAGCTTATTTTCTGGGCAGGTATTTGAACCATGTGCCTCTTCTAGAAAAAGGTTAACACTATCACCTTTCTTCAGCTACATTTAAAAGAAAATCTAAATTTTATTTTTAATGAAATGTACTTCAATTAAACAAAAAATCCTGCACTTGCCTGTTGGGCATGCTCTGAGATTAACCCTAAATCAAGCTGTTTACAACCATGAAAGAAACTACATCCTGAGAAAACTCTTGTTTTCCCGCTTTCAGCCATATTTATTGTCCAGTAATTGTGACCGATACACAACAGAACAGTCATCAAGTGTGCACAGGGTGCATTTCCACCAGCAAACTTGGAATTCTCATTCCTAAGTGTCTCTCTCTTAGAATATCAGAGGACTTCACAAACACCACCAACCAACCAACCTCAAGCAACACTCTCACCACTGCTGTAAGATGGGGAGACAGCCCCAAGAGCAGACAAACTGGCAAATTTTGCTGGAGTGCTGCAAGGCTTTGCTTTCCCCACAGGCACATGGGCTTTCCTGACAGAGATTACTGGTCCTAGAGCTTCTGAAGGAAATGCATGCCTAGGTTCACTGATGATGGTGGGTCTGAATCAACACAACAGAGTCCATCCTGCCTTCTAGGAGAACAAAACAGATGAGAAAGGATATACCTAGCAAAACCTCACCAGTTCAAGACACCTCTCTGTACAAAACACACACAGTGAAGAGGTGTAGGTGCACTTAAAACCTGCTCACTAGGCAAATGCAGACCTCCCGAAGTGAAAGGATGGCTGCACATCCTTCTCCCTGCTTTACCTTTGCAATTTTGGTTTCATCCTTCTTCTTTGCAGTTTGCAGGGCTTCAAAGTGGTGTCTGGCACTATCGTAATCCACAAGCTTCCTTCCTCGCTTCGCTATACGAGACTAAGAAAGACAGAGAAAAGAGTCATGACAATCTTCTCCAGCAGCCAAAACCCACCAGGTCTCAAGAAAACCCCACTCCTCTCCACCCAGCTTCCAGAGCAGCCCATGCTTTGCCCACACAAGAACACTCACTGGATACTCAACACAGGCTGCCCAGAGAGGTGGCCCTGGGAGCAACCTGTGACAGTCGCCATTCTCTCCACTCCTCAGGAGGAGAGCAGACTCAGCCAGGGAGAGCAAAGGGATCCAACTGACAACAGGCCCCACCTCTGGATGACATTAATGTTTTCAGAACTGTAGTTCCTAAACCTCCCCATGTGCCTGTATCCAACAGGCTCCTGCTTCATCATTTTCAGGGTCTCCTGAGGGCTGCAGCCAGACTCCAACTAACCAGCTCATCACCCCCACTTGTATGGAAGCTCAAAAGATTAAGTTCAACAAAAAAAGGCATTTCTGCTGCCAGCACAGCAAAAGCATTCATCCACATGCTTGGGATATGCCTAAGACAGCATTTTGGACCCTGCAACAGGAGGTTCAGACAGAAGTGACTGCAGCCACAAGCAGTGGTGCATTATAACTAGCTATTAAGCAAGTGCAAGGGAAAACGTGTAGCATTGTCGCTGACAGGCAAGACAGACTGAAGCCATGGCAAACACAAGGGAGCCAACTGTGCCCCAGAATTGTTCCTGACAGGTCCATGGGTGAGAATCCAGAATAGACAGTCAGGCGTGGCCTGATCCTCCATTACTCTTCTTCATCCAAGGTCCCTCAGGCTCTCTTCCCCCAGCAGAGCTTCACCTCGGCAAGGCTCAGGCCCCCCGGACTGCCCTGTTTTAAGAACCATCCATGCCTCCTTGACTCTTGCCCCCATGTTCTCTACAAACACCCTGGACCATCTGGGTTGGAGCACAGGTCTTCCCAGTCTGACCATAGCACCACCTCAGCTTGGAGAGCCTGGTCCAGCGTCAGTGATCAGCAGTCTAGAGACTGGAGTGAAAAGGCATGGCAAGGAGCCAGGAGGGTTTCTAATTAAGCACCCAGGGAAACTGAAAGTGCAAGATGAAGAATCAGCACTGGGATTTACCTGCAAAAGCAAAATCCCTCTTTCCACTGCACTTGGCAGGGAGATGTGGTCTCCTCTCTCTAGGCTCCTGCAGATAAGCTGTAAAACCACACTCGGGGCTGATCTTTCTGCCAGACCCACTAAGATCAGTTCGCAGATCTCCCACACATGCTCCTCTGCGCTTTCAGCAGACTCTAGTGCAGCTCTGTGTGAGTCACAGCAGATCTGCAGATCTCAGCCACACACACACCCAAACCAATTACAAAACACTCTGCTCACTCCAAGAGAGGAATCGTAAAGGAGCTGAGCCACCCTGCAGAAAGACACCTCCCCGACACCACATGCCAGCCAGGCACGAGATGGGACATCGGAGGCAGCTTCCAGCAGTGTTGACAGTCTCTGAGATGCTACTTAATGCACCTTCCACATGCACCAGATAAAACACATGACCAGATTATGGATTTAAGAGAGATTTTTCCCCCAGGTCAGACTGGTAGAGATAGCTGGAGTCTTGCCCATCTCTGAAATGGCAAACAGCCACTTCTAGGTTTCTCTACCATGCCACCAGGGAGCATAATTCAATGCCATCCATCTCTCACAAGTGCACTCTGGCCCTTTTGCAGCCCCTGATCTTCTTCTAACCCCCACCCTCACATTTCTACTAAAGTACGTGAAAATGCTGCGAGATACAGATACACCACAAGCCCTCCTGGAGTAGCCACTGATCACACAGTTGACTGTGATGGCAGCAATGGGACTTAGCCCAGCCCTGGAAGACTTCAAGGTAGCTCCCTTGTATGACTCTAGGATAGCTGCAGCTGCCCCTCACTATCTGATGGTTAAATCTCAACTCCAACAGAGTTCCCTGCTTAATTTAATCCTACTCAAAAAAAAAAACCTCCACAAAAAAACTACACAGAAAACCCACTACATAAAAACCAAACCACCACAACACGCTTACCCCCACCCCTTACCATCATTTGGTCTTAAATCTAGTAGAAGCAGGGCAATAGTTTCAGTGGAGTACAGAAACATCACCAATTCCACAGCTATTCAGAACTTGGGTTATGATTTACCTTCTGCGGGCTCACTGCAGAGACATGTACTCTTACTGCGTACTCTGCAACCTTAACCAAAAACTCACTCAGAAATATTATTGATTATGCAAGAATCCTACTCCAAGAAGTTATAGATACTGACCTGCAAAGAAAAGATAAAGTACTTCTTGCATTCCCATTTTTCAAGTTAGAGAGGAAAGAGAGGCTTTGTTGACTCCTCCCCACCCAACATTTAAAAATTATTTAACTTACAGAAATTCCTTACTAAATGAATGCTGTTTTCATATTCTTGCTCTGGATCCCATTGCAAGTCAGAAAATTCAAGGGAATTTTTCAGTTTGTCAAGCGAAGAGGGATTCAGAATATGTTAGAAATTAACAAAAATAACACATACTTGATCTAACTCATCCCACATTGGAATTACCGAGCTGTTAACAAAAAACAGGCCTTCATATAACTAAATTAAAATCATCTTCTCTCCATAAATCACTTTGCATTATCATAATAATGTCAGAATTCCAGGAAAAGCAGAAAATATGCTTTTGTGGAAAACACAAAACTATTACCACAGGAAAAAAACAGAACAAAACAAACAAAAAATTGGTGAATTACCCAAGACTGGCGTTTTTTTGCCTGCCACCCTCAAAAACTAATTCTATATGCAAAGCCAAACTACACTTTAGTACAACTGTAGCACCCTTCAACAACAGCACTTCAGAGCTTCTACCATTCAAAGAAACCAGACTTGATTTGAGTGAATTCTTGATTTGAGCACTTCTTTCTTACTACTCTGGAGTAAGGAGGACGATGCATCCAACTGAATTACCAATGAAAATATATTGACCTTTTTAATTTATACAACTGAAAGTTCATTTTAAACAAATAGCCAACTCTGTGCAATACATCCATATCTTATTGCAGAAAGCCACATTCTCACTCATTTTAGCAAGGGAAGCAGAGATGAGTAGTGCTCTCTTTAAAGCATTACTTAAATTGTGCATAAGTTCTGTGATAAAATTGCTTTAATTTCCCATTTTCTAGAGCATCATCCAAAGACTGAGAAAGAGACATTAGTAATAAACAAATTAGTGACTCATTCAGAACTCAGAAAGGATCCATCTTAGCTCAGTGCCTATCACCTTGAGTTTTGGTGGAAATTGGGTTGTCCCTCCTTTTAAAATCCCACTGTAAAACCTGTGACCCAGTGCACAGCCAACAGGGCTGGTGAAATGTGATTTGGCCTGAAGCAGTACAGAAGTCCGAGTCTACAGCAAGCATGAAATAAAACCTTCTGCTTAGGAAAGAGCGCATGAACCCCTGTGCTGCTGAGGCACACAGCATCACACTATAGGGAGCGCTCAGCTCTACAACCTTGAGCGGGTGGAAACCTCTTCACCCTTCCCTGCTTCAGCCTTCCAGGAACAGAAGAGGCTGTAAAAATGAAGAAAAATCAAGGCACCCCAGGAGGCAAGGACCCTGCTGTTCAGGGCTCATTTTACAAGCCTGTGACCTGCCCTCTTTGATATGGCATGATCCTCTTGAAGCAACAAATATTGACAAATGCTTTAAGAGACATGTGGTGGGGAAAGGGTTGTTTTCACTGGGAAGTTGCCAAGCTGATATTTCCCATATGGTGATATCATTACTAGCGCTTCCATATGGTTAAGACATTTCCTGCATAACCTTCTCAAAATTAATGGGGAGGAGACAGCTGTGGAGGAAGGGAAGCTCATAGGACATCATTACGATGAATACGGTCTCCCCCAAAAAGACACCTATCCAGCATCCCCCCTTCCCTACAACAAGGTGGTTATACACACAGCAGGACTTCAGGGAACACACAGAAATCTGCCTTCCACACGAGCCTTTACCTATAGAGCACATTCGCCACCAACTGCTTCCTCAATGCTTTTTACTTATAAGTAAGTTAAAAAAACAAAGAACCAAAAAGAGAGACTGAGAGGTTGTGAGTTGCTGCCCTCCAGCACTGTGATACATTAAAAAATGTTATGGATCCTTCTGTCTTGCACTTATGTTTTCTCTTCAGCATCTTTCCCCTGGACTCTTCACTCCCATTTCAAGCCCAAATGAGAACATAACATTTTCACATTGATCCAGAGCTGCAAAGATCTTGGCTGCTCTAAAAGGAGAGCTTGCAGCAGCAGAGCACACACAACCTCCTAAAAAAGGTGGGGATGCAAGATTTTATTCTTATGAGGTTTCACCTGCTGTGACCCTGTAGATCAAAAGGTTTAAAGAGAATCTTACTTTAATATCTGGAAATTGGCCAAGGTACGTATCCATGGTCAGAAGTGCCTGATCCACCAACTTCTGATGGAAATCCGTCCAGAGGAGGTCATTGTTCTGAAAAACAAAAGTAATGAGCTGACTGTTAAGAACACAGAGCTCTGCATTTCTGTTTTTCTCTGAGTGCTACAGCCAACCACTTCAGTCCCCCAGAGCTCTTAAGAAACAGTCATTTCCTTGGAAAAACTAAGGAGCAGAGAAGTCAGTTGAAAACAGAGGTCATGCCAGAAATGTAGAAACAGAGAAGAAAGCTTGATGCTGCTAATTCAGGTGACCTCTCCAAGGACACAGAGTCCTTTGTGATCCTTCCTTTGAGGGACTGCCTTTTCCCCTGCAGTGCTAGCCCCAGTCAGAAGGGAAGATGAAGGTTAGGCTGGCTTTACCTCCTTCTCCCAGCAGCCACAAAAATGGGACACTTGACACCACTAGGCACCATTTTTGCTTTTCATTACAACACAGCTTTCTGGAGGATAATGAACAGTAACAGAAAGCTATTCTAGCAGTCTTCAGCCCTCGCACCACCTGCCTCCACAGCCCCATGGAGTTCACATCCAAGCCTTGCACCCTAACCTGTGCATGTTTTATCCTTGATTTTATCTTAGGCTCAGTAACTTCCCATCAACACCTTAGATTAGAGAGAAATTGCCCCTCTCTCATTTTTTCACTTGAACAAAGGATTTTAGCTAAAATATTTAGGGAAAAATGCCTATTTTATTGAGAATTAATCATTTTTGGGGGCAGGAATAGCACATTTCTCCTGCCTGTCTTTTCCTCAAAGATAAAAACATAAACAGAGGCATTAAAGAGGGAGGTGAAAGGCTGGAAACATTCCTGCAGACCACCAGAGTAGCCACAGTTGGTTCTCAGGACTCATGCTCCCTTTGACCTCACTGGCTCAAAGTCTCTGAAGGGACACTTTCCCAAGGGGCACCACAGTAGCTCAGGAAGAGGAAAAAAAGCCAACAGAAAATGCAAGGCCAAACTAGCTGAATTGCAACTGCATTATTTACTGCAACAGCACTTTCTAATGAAAAGTTTCCATGTTAATGCAAGAACTGACCTGGAAATGCTCAGGTTTTGTTTGATTTATCTGCTTTGAAGTCAGTATTTCCTGGGCAAGATGCAGATGTTATTTCAGGTGAGATTTTCTGCAGAGGAAAGCAGGGGAAGGGAAGAATCCCCCTCCTACTCTCCACTCTGTTCCTTCCCCACTCTCCAATGCCACAGACAGCTGCAGATAAGCCTGGTCCTGCAGCCTCATGGCAGATGGATCCACAGAACCGAACTGCCAAAGCTGTTGCTCTGCAGAACAGCTGAGTGAGAGAGCAGAGGGCACCTGCCTCCAGCTGGACCCACCACACACACACTTGCCAAGGGGGATCCAAGCTGTCAAATGACAGGCTGTGCTTTAAGGACCACAGAAAACACCTGGACAAGTTGGACAGCCATCACTTCACTAAGGGATGAGAAGAACAGCAGGTTGGCTCAGCCAAACAAGGTGGCAACCAAAATACGGCGGCTGGTGGCACTGCTGTGAGTGGGAGGTTGTTGCAGCTACACAATAGCTACTCTGACCATGCTTTGGCCATTGATTCAGCTGCCCCTTTCTCTTGCGCAGAGCGTAACCAATACATCCAGTTGACCCTACTGACTCTTTTGGCATCCTCTGTCCCTCTTTAGCCACTGTTGGGGCAACAAATTGCTTACGGGCATAAGCACACAGCTCTGTGTAGCATTCAAGCATCTGGGGACAGTGCCTTATGCAGACAAAAATACAGGCCACATCCCTTCAGCTTTCCCTCCTTCCCAACACTGAGTTTGCCTCTCCAATTACTCTGCAAAGCCATATGCCTGAAGGAGTGTGGCACACACACACAGCTTCCAATCTCATCTCCGTTGACAGATGAAGCCTGTTGACCCCACATGCTGGACAGAGTCTTACCTCTGCTATTTTATTTGTGTCATCTCTCCCAGGCCAATCCGGCTCATAAACTTCCTGCAAACACTCTGTCAGCTTCTTGGATGCCTCGTGCATAGCTAGGAAAGAAGAGGGAACTGCTTCAGAAAGAGGGAAATAGTGCATTCCTCCCAGTTTAACCCTCATCCAGAGGAATGAGGACATGAGAGGTATTGAATGGGCTATAACAAATGCTAATCTGATTCTTACAGAATGTCTGACCCTTGATAACAGAGATGGAAGGTAATCAGAGGGAGAAAGGAACTGAAGATGCAGTCACATCAAACCCTTGTGTTAATCCTCCCCTAGCAGAAGATATCGGAGTCTATCTGCTAAGACAGGATCACCTGCTTGACATCAAAGCACAACCCCATTCCATCCCAGCTGGTCCTGAAGGATTCTGAAGGATCCCCTGCACAGACAAGGCTGGCCTTTCCTACAGCTCCTGCCTGAGGATAGGAAACACAAGCAAGGGGAAGGCTGCAGAAACCTCACTGTGTAGGTAAGCACTGGAGGGGGAACAATCCTCTGCTAATGCAGATCTTACCTTTTACGGAGGCCAAGTAAGTTCGGAGATCCTTCTGCAGCCTCGTGCCTTCAGACTATGAACGTAAGAAGGCCATCAGTTATTCTCCAATATAAAGACTGTGTAAGAAGAAGTCAAGCATTTCTAAAGAGAGAAAAATGATCTTGCAGATGGGCTGCACACCAGCCCTGTGACCATACATAAATGTTAACAGGAACACCACACAGCCCTCTGACTTGGTAAGCCCACAGCCAGTGACCTGCAAGCATGTTTGGCCAACACCACCACCAAGGTACCAAGTAAATTCATGTTGGTAAAGCTGTGATTTGCTCTTCCCAGCAGAGTCAGCTTCAGTGTTTTAATTTCATACAAGCAACTAGAGAGGGTCCTAATTAGTTTATAAGCCATGGGCCAGGAAGTCTACGCAACAAATGCAACTGAAGGGAATCTGCAGGATATAGAAGATAGATGCAATTGATTTTTTTTTTTACTGGTTTGGGAGCACTTTATCTCACTACTTTTTCCTGCCACACTGCAAACCAAAACCCCAGTGCAAAGAGAGTGCAAGGGACCTCTGAGGTCACCTCATGCAGACGACCTCTGGAGTATGAAAGAAAGAGAGAAAAAAGTTTGTGAGGCAAAGATCTCTGTTATAAAAGGGTTCCCCTTACCCTGTGGGATCTCACTGGATGCTCACTATCCCCCAAAGTAGCTGTAAAAAACAAGAATGCCGGAAAGCAACAACTACACCTCACACCTTCCTCATAGCCTGCTGCCCTTCCTCGTCTTCTTTTCCAGTTTGTGTCCCATTGCGGGGGCCCCCAGCATAATGAATTTTGACAGCTGAAGACCACTCCAGAGACAGGGAGCTCACAGGACATCTCTGACAGCTGCCTTGGAGCTACTAGCTTCAAAAGCAAATGTTTCCCATCAGCCCTCCCCACAACTGGGGCTCCTCTTGCCTCAACTGGGCTCATGCTGTGATCCCCCTGTGCTTTCAGTGCAGCTGTGCTCTCTAAGCAGAGGCTAAATCTGCCCAGCTGTTAAAGTGGCAGTGCTAGCATAGCTGCGTGGAGAAATCCATTTGCTTCCAACACTGCGGCCCAATTTGTTTTCCTTGCCTCGAAAGTTCTGGATGAGTTCATATTTGTGCTTTTCCTACTACCACCACCAAAGGAAACGAGGGATGGGAAAGAGCTGGCTACTTGTATAAAATATAATCAAATTCCCAGTCTGGAAAAGCATTGAGAACTGACTCAAAGACAGTACAAGAGGAGAGGAGTAATGACCACATCTGCTGCATAAGTCCTAAAAATTCTTAAAACACAGAGCAAACAAATGTAGAGCTTTTTGCTGGCTTAAGGTGAATGTGGAAACCTGGGCAGATGAGGCTTTCCTAACAGTGCAATCAGAAAACATCAGGGAAGAGGTGCCAGAGTAATCAAAGAGCACACAGCCAGAGGAGGACGGAGCTGACAGGCAGCAGTTCAATCCAGTCATAATATGTGTCTGCTTATACCCAGTACAGGAAGAAAAGAAAGGCTTGGTGGAAAGCAGTGCTGCTTGTCTAGAAGAAGAAACTATCATGCAAAATCCCTCAGATTAATATATTCTCATCCTGCAGCTGTATCATTTTTAAGAATGACTAAATTTAAACTCACAACTTTGAAGTTATCAGAAACTAATCAGCAGAACTTGCCTACCACATGCTTGGTACAGTGACTTGCAAAATTATAGCATCTAAAATCAGAAACCACCTCCAAAATTGAGCACATACTTGCCAGAGTCCTGCCACAGCAGCACACGACAAAACCCCAACTCATGAACTCTTTAGGTCTCAATACTCCATTAATATGCAGTGCTGCATCCTGCAACTGGGATGGTCTTTCTTAGTCACCTCATGCTGATGTTTAAAGTCTGAGTTACAGCCGATACCCGTAACCATGGGGTTACCTAAGCCTCTTAAAAGTATCAAGCCTGCCAGAGAGAGTGAATAGACTTTACAGCCTGTCAGATCTGCAGGCAGAAGGGTTTTCAGAGGCCCACGTTCAGAGTTTTGCCATGAATCCTGTTTCCACAGCTCCTCTGGGCACCTGGGGTCTCCATCCAAGTCCTTCTTCGGCAATGCCATAGCTTTATTTCTCGTTCACCAGTAAAGCAGTTCCTTCACTTGCTACAAGTATTTCTTTTTATTATTTTAAGCATTAATGCTTTCCCAAGAAAATTTGGCAACTTTCTCCCTGTGCATGCAGCACCTGCCTTCTTCAAGCAAGCTGTCAAGTACAGCCACAAGTCAGCATAAACAATTCTTGCAACACAGTTAGACACTGTCAAATACTGCACAGAACAGAAGCTTTCAACATCCTTGAGTGCACACTTGAGAGATGCTTCCTAAACTCAGAGGTAAAAAAAAAGTAGGGAACAGAATTCACCTGGAATCTGGAAAATTAATCCACTTCCCAGTTATCAAAGGGCAGTAGGCTTAAGGGCATGCAAAGCAAATTTATAGAGGTATGGTTGAATCTAAAGATGTTAAAAAATCAAATAGCGTAGTAATTTTTAAATTGCAAGAATGTAAAAAAAAAGAAGAAGAAGAAATAGTGTGTGTGTGTATATATATTTCAGAATAACAAAACTCTAGAAAAGCAAAGTAAAACTAGGATCAAAATGAAAGATCAGTGCAGATTCTTAACCCATATTCATTTCTCATCCCTGCACTAACAAACTGACTTAATAACTTTGCACAGGGAAAATAATACTGTGTCTTGATGTAGAAGTGACCACAATAAGTTGTTCTGCTCAAACACACAACTGTCGTCTTGTTTGAGCAGATATTGCCATACTTGCAATCACAGGGTAATTCAACCCTGTGAACCTCTAACACACCCAGGTATAATATGAAGGACAGTATGTGCAGGAAGATGCATATTTAAAAATAGAAGTGCTATGCATGGGAAGCTGGAAGAGCTCTCTCTCTCTGAAGACTTCATGAACCACCTATTACTTATAGCTCTGTGAAAGAAAAACACAAGAGTGGTTTGGATTCTTTTTGTGCTTTCTTGTTTTGTTGGGGGGTGTTATTTACAATACCTTTCATCAAGCACTAGCTAAGTATGTGATTTTCTGTAGAGCTGTTTCTTGGTAGTAGACAGGTTTCCTAAAACCCTTTTTCCCCCAAATGTTCAAAAGAAATTTTTTCATCCTAACATTAGACTGCAATTCCTTCTTCATATAACCTCCCTGGTTTTGTAGTTCTGATGGGAAGGATTTTTATTATCAGTAGGGATGTTCTACACCTGAGAGGGGCAGGTAGTGTCCTGTTCCAGATTAGAATTATATAGGGCTTGAAAAGCAAACTGTGAAATTATAAAGGGGAGAAGCATTGGAACAACAGCTCCAGATAAGCCTCCACACAGCAAAACTTCAGAGCTCTTAGGACACAAAGCATGAACAACTGGTGAAAAGCTCCCATCCTGGGGTACCAGGCGAGCTGTTAAACTTGTTTTGCTCCATAGGGCTGAAATGTAAACTGCTGGGAGTGAAGGGTTCTTGCCTGGGAAAAAAAGTCTCTCTCTGAGCTACTGACTGTAATGGTCCACAGCCAAACCTGGGCTCCAAAAGCAAAGATTAAGTTCACGCTGCCTGCTCTGCAGGTTGAGGCTGTGCTGAACACCGTGGGGTACGGGCAGAGATGGATGCGGCCCGCGCCAGCAGCAGTTTGCCTCTCACACGATGGGTGTGAAACACTGGAAACCAACCCAGAACTTCCACACGAGTGACAGCTCATGAAGGGTATAAAAGCACAGCCGCTCTGCCAGGCAGAAACACAACGTGCTGCCAGGTGTAAGGGCTGCCACCAGCTTCCCACTGTCTCTCCAGTGAGTATTTCAAATGCAGGGGAAGAGAAGCCCAACCTAGCACTCCTTGGGCAGGGGCTGTGTTGCATCTTTGCAGCAGGCCTCTTGCTCCCAGGTCTGTGAGGACAATTTCCAGGACAGATCCTTGTGCTGGTGCCTGAACACAAGTGACACTGGGAAAGGGAAGGAGCAGGGAACCTTCAAATGAACTTTTTTGGGAGGCCAATAGCCAAAGATAATCTGACATGAAGGAGTAATACTGGGGCCAGTTGTGCTGCTTCTCAAGCTTTCAAGAGACACAGGCAAGCCCTGTAGCCCTGTGGAAGCACAGTTATGTCCAGCTCATTTACCACATCGCAAACCCATCTGTCTGAGATAAAAAGCTCCTACCAATCAGAGACCTCTGAGTGCAACTCTGATAAGAACCTGAGAGAACAGAGAGCTGGGAAGTGCAATCCTTATGTCCACTCAACCATCATGAGAGAACCACAAGACAAGTGGTTTGACCACAGGTTGAAAATGAGTAAGTGATTTTTAGACCTGCTGTCCCTTCATTGGCAGCTCATGCATAGGTACATGTGTCAAAGTGGCCCAACACAGTCATTAGAGTCAGAGGAGCCTCTGATGGAGCAGCAGACAAGGCCACTGCCTGGTCACTCTGCCTGGCCACCCCTCAGCCAGTCCTGCAGGAGAGCTGTTCTGCCACAAGCCTGCAGCAAAAGATCAGCTTTCATCCAGACTTACATTTTCTGCTGAAGCAGACTTTGTAAGGAAAGAAGTCTCACACATAGCTACATTACACACACATACCATACACATAAAAATAAAAATAAAAATAAAAATAAA